GAGAGAGTGTGAAAATTAAAAAATGCTGAGCGAGTGACTCAGGGTCACCACTAGCTCCTGCGTCTTGTGCCCACAATATCCTGAACATCTCAGCACAAACCCAGAGAGCAAGGTCTCGGTGGACTAGAACACAACACTGTTTAGTTTTAGATCACTTTCTTTTCTAATCTCACTAACAAAAATCAACTTTGATCCCTGGAATTTAACTTCCATAATTTTATAGGTTGTTTGTTCCAGAGGATATGCTAGATCATTAAGTAATTCACTGTATAAATATATAACAGAAAGAATTACTCAAGCAATTTGAGGCATTTTACTAAAATGGAAACAAAGCAACTGCAATAGAACATTAGCATAGGACTCATGTTGCCTATTTTTAAAAATAAATGGCTTGAATAAAAGTCTTTGCTCCTAAACAAATTTATTTTGTTTAGGAGAGAATGTCACCCTTTAAAAGTCTGGAGCTAGTAACTGTCTTTACTTAAATGCAAGTTATGTATATCAGCACAGAAAACATTCAGCTTTAAAATTCTCAGTGATCTTCCTTGCATTCTGTGTGTAATAAAAATTATCTTGCCTATAGCATCACAAATTTATTTAAAAAAAGAAAAAGAAAAAATCAAGAAAAAGAAAACCTTACTTAAAGATTTTCTGTGTTCAGCCTTTGGTTCTTTGGATTCAGTATCTAAGCTATTCAGTAATTCGATGCTGGAGGATCTTCTGAGTTTGAACTCCAAATTTCTCGATGTACAACTCTGTTCTTTGGGCTGGAAAGAGAACATATATACGCATATATGTTTGCACAAAAATATTCTATATAAGAATGAAATAAGAAATTACAGAATGCCACTACAGAATCAGAACCTAATTCAGAAATGCATACAGCAAGTGATGCTTATAATTCAAGGGAAATGCAGTGCAAAATTTGCTCCTCATATGGCAGATCTTTTATGCCCCTTACAGACTGATCTTGGTTTCTCAGATTAATTCCCATCTAAGTTAGGGAACCAAAAGCCTACTTCTTCAGGCCTTTCCACATTGCATGGGCTATTTCCTGATTAGTGTGAAGAGGAAGGTTGTTTAAGTTGCCTTCTTGTTTTAGCTATTTACAGCAAATATTCTTTCAGTTACAATTGTTTCAAATATTGTTGCAGATTTTGGGTTGAATTCTGATGGTGTAATTTGGGAAAGAATGCAAGACTTCCCTATTGCTCTAATTTACTGACATATAAAGCAACAATTAGGGGCCGTTAATGATCTCAATTCTTCAAAAAAGAAGGAAAAAAAATAGAAAAGAGAAAGGGAGATATTATTTTGGCTGATCACACCCATCTTCCCAAGGAATTGGATCAGGTAAGACGTAGCCTTCCCACTGCCTTGCAAGGCTGCAAGACCTCCCCGCTCATGCACGCGAAGCTTTAAACCTGGAGTAGCTGACATCTACGTAAGCCTCGCTGAATGCTACTCGACGATTTTTGGTCTTGTACAAAAAAAAAAAGTACTCTGCATCTGGGGCAACCTGCCTTGGGAGTTAATGGTACCGTAGTTATATTTTAAAAGGTAAAAGCCTGGTTGCGGACCGCGAGCCGTTCCCGCTTTGGCTCGCCGTACTCCTCACAGCTGCCGAAGCCAGGCTTTTACCTCTTGCAGAGCTGCGCTAAAAAATAACCAAGTCTATTAGATGTTTAGCTGAAGAGCGTGCAAAAAAAGGGCTCTGAGTCCCCACGGAAAACTCCACCCCTGAATCTTCAGCAGGATATCAATATCCACACGTATCCAATGAAATGCGCAATATGAAGACATACATCATCAGATCAAACTTTCCTTGGCTGATTATAGCCTAAGGGTAATATAATGTTTGTAGCTCTTTAAGGAAACAGTAGCCCTGTTCAAATTAACCCTTTCCAAGATGCCGCAGAGACTCACTCTGCCAGCTCTGTCAATTACTCTGTAGCAAAACCTCTGAAAAATGCACGAAATGGGGATATTTTTCTCCCACCAGATTCTGCAGTGAACAAGGAAAGTCAGTGCCCTATAAAAACATGTTCTTGGATCCGGCAGAGATAGAAGGAAGGCATTTGGAATTTGTACTGAGGGTGGCAAAAAAGAAAGAAAAAGCTACAGCTGAATCTGGTTTGGTAATTAAAAACTGATTTAATAAAATGCAGCCCTGCTTACTTCTAGTAGAAAACCCCCAGCCTTCCTGGGAGAATAACAGCAATCAGTTACAAAGGAATATTATTTGCTAGTGTTATTCTTGTGAATAAGTAATACAAAAATTCATAAAAGGCTCAAATGTATTAATAGTTCTATTGAAGATTATATACTGTAGGCTGCATAAACAGAAAACGCAAAGATTCATTAGTTATTAAGTGCTCGTGTGCTTTTACAACCCTCAGTAAACCGCTGCCCCTCTTATTTCAGAGAAATAAATGCAGCATTCTGTTTTAAGTCACGAATCAAATGGCATTTTCGTTGAACAACCTTGTTTATCTGACATTTTTAGATTTGCATACATATTTATATATCCTTCAAATAAAGGAACGTCTAGCTAGCTGCTAGCTTCTGACTGTCTGAAACCTGTAGCGATGCCTGAGCAAATGAAGTTTAAATTGCTACATCTTAATTAATAAAGGTAACAGCCAAAACAAATACATACCAATCTGTCAATTGCATTTTTGATAGCGTGGAACCAATCCAATATGAGGAAGTCAATATCCGACTGAAGGAGGAACTCATTTCCTGATACTGTCGTGATCTGGGGGGAGGGCAGTGGGAAGGACAGGTGAGTAAAGCACACGGGAGAGAGGATTTTGTTTTATCTTGTCTGGTAGGCACCAAAAGGCTCTCCTCTGCACCCATAATTATCTCCTGGAGCGCGGGAGTTACCACGCAGCCTTGAACCTCTGGCGGAAAACCAGTTAGGGTATGTCACCACAAATAAGGTATCGTCTTAGCAAAGTAACTGCCGAATACGAATAGCGCGAAAGTAATGATGATGTGACAAAAGTTAAGAAAAGCCAGGAGACTCGGAGTTAAGATAGGCAGTTCAGATGTAAATCACAGCACTCTGAAAAGAAATGAATATGATATAAGAATTAATTGCAAACTTCCTGCTGTTTTAGGCTTCCCTTTTTATTTTGATATTACTATTAGTTATATACTTGATTCCTTCATCTCTGAACTTATATGGATGTTCTGTACCTGTGATTCCAGAGTCCACTTCCAATCACTTTGGTAAAATTAATAATTTAACTGTTGTTCATATTAAAAATTACCATCAAAGATGGCTGTAGCAAAGTAATTAAGAGCCCGTTTATCATGAAAAAAATCCCTAGTTTGTCGGAATTGAAGTCAATTTACATTTTTGACCTACTCCCTGGAAATATTTATCAAAAGAATATTCATTCCCCTGACAATGCTCTTTCGCTGCCTAACAATATTTGGTGGAAATATATATGCATATCCTGTTGGTCTCAACTTCTGTGAGAATAATGATACATCTTTTTTTATATATACAACTTTTCCCCATGGCAAAACTCCAAGCATTTCATAAAGCAGGTCAAAATTACCATTTTACAGATAGCAAAACTGAGGCACAGAGCTGGGCAGTGGTCCTTCCCAAGACTATTCAGTGAAGCCCTGGCAGACCTGGTGGCAGAGCACAAGCCAGTGCACAGCAGCGATGGGGATTTGCAGACGAGCAAGCAGAGGGTCTCGCCACCACGACATTTTGCAAGAGGCAGGAGCTTGCCCTGCCCACGCGCCAAACCGGCCAGGCTCGTGCCAGCTCTGAAGCAAAAGCTTTGCTTCTGGAAGGGTAGGAGCAAATCTGTCCATCAGGCTGCTCCTCGGAGGGAGACCTCCGCACCAAGACCTACAGCTTCTCAGGTCTTTCCCTCTGACCAGCAGAACGCCGCGGACAGCGGACATTTCCGTCTGAATAAGGAGCGAGCAAAAGCAGAGCAAAGCCGTGAAGACCTGGCACAGTTATTTGTTAAAAGCAAGGCACCTGAGGTGCTCCTGTTGCACTACACCTACCCATGTCAAGATTTTTTACCGAAGCATAAAAGTAAGAACAGATTCGAGCTGCCCGTGTACTCCCCACATCATCCTTTAAACTGAAATACCATCAGGAAAAAGAAAAAAGAAAAGAAAACAGACAAAACAGCTCAATGTTTTATTAATTGTTCTATAACCCTCCCGTTATTGAGGAAATGCCTGTAAGGAACAATTCCAAAGTCATCAGCGTTAGGGAAAATCCTGTCGGTACAGTTCCAGTAGAGACATCCTGCCTGAGAGCTACGGACAATGTGGGAATCGCACGGACCCGCTGGCTCGGGACGCTGCTGCTCTGCAGATGGCCCTGCCCAGCCCACTGCCGGTCCTCGCTCCCTTCACGAGTGGGCTTGCAGCCACACTAGCGTTGGCCGTGGGCATGGGACAATTGCTTGGAAAATTTTAATTCCCTTTCAGGGAACGGGCCAGGAGTCCACGGTCATAATGTTAACGGCTGCTACCTCACAGGCTTGCCGTTCTCTTTATCAAAAAACAACAAAAGCCATCAACTTAAGGTAACTAGTCAACAGATCGGACCTCCAGGCCTTTGCCTGGTTTGCACTGAAAGTTTCTGAGTTCTAAATATATTCCATTGTATCACGATTTGTCAATATACACATGCAGATATGAATTAGACTAAACACAGGGAACAATTCAATCTAATGCCTCTCTTCCAGCATAAACAAATCATTATTAAAATTGTAAAAAGGAATAATATTTTCAAAGTAAGAGCAACATATATAATTAGATTTACTGTATTTTGAAGGCTTAAGAAGGACACAGCACAGTTCAGTCTTCCGTTCAGTAAATTCAGGCTTTATTAAAACACAAGTATTCAGCACTGTATAAACATTTGTACTGTATGATATGCAAAAGAGATACTCCATTGCTAACAAGACCAAAGCAAAAATACATGTTGAAAGTTTGTTTGTCTGAATGTGTTATTTTGATAATCATATATTATCAGTGTTTTACGAGCATATCTGTAAAAACAGATCATAGCATTGAGGGAAGAGAATTCATCTAAAATATACTTTCTGCAGGATATAGTTCAAGTCCTTTTCTTTCTTTCCTCAGACTAATCTTCAGAGTAACTAGACAGTTTCAAGAAGACTGCTACTGCTCTCTACAGTTTAAATGCCTCCACTCCTTAATTACAGTCAGTAATTGACTTTGTTCTGCTCCATTCCAGTCATTCACAGGAAAGCAGTTCCAAAGGCTTTGGCTGGTAAATCCCATTTAATGTGCAGGTTTCCTAGCCCACTTTTATATATTACCTCCTTAGGATTTCTGATAAATGGTTCTTGGAAGGGATTGCTAAACCATATTTGCACTTTGAACAATCGAATTTTCAACACCCTTGGGAAAAGACATCAGTAAAGAATGCTAGCTTTGACTAAACCTTGTGATTGAACAATTTATGATCACAGCCCTAAATGATGTATAACTAACAACAAGCATAAACTGTTCAATGTTAAGGCACGGTAGCGCACCATCCCTATATCAGGCATTGCTGAAATAAACATAAACAGAGAGACTGGAGAAAAAAATGAAAGATATATCTGGGAAAAAAAAAAAAAAAGACGTTCTCTAGGTAGAGCTGCCAGTCTCCATTGTGCCAGGTCCTTTACTTGTTTAAATATTTCCTGAAATCCCTTTCTCTTTGTGCATCGTTCTTGTGAGGGCTACAGCCTGGAATTAACATTACCTTACTATGCAGAATTACAATGTCGGCGTCAACTATAAAAACTCAAGAGGAATGACAATTTACATTAACCCCTCTATTTTCAAAGGGTTTGTCCTTCAGGCCGGCTACAGTGGAATCGGGACTCCTGGATTGTCCCTTTCTTACTGTACTACCTTGGGAAAATCACTTAAAAGCCTAGATCCTCTCACATGGCAGCTATTCAATGAACTACAGCACAGTCCTGCTGTTAAGCACCGATCATCCGAAAATACAGGCTCACCCCAGGTAAGTGTGTGTTAAATTCAATATACTGTTAGGCTGCCAACATAGTGTGGAAAGGGCGGGGGTGGAGGAAGTGTGAAATATTTTTTGCAGTATTCTTATTGTGGCTTATTAAGGATTTCTCTTGTCACCTTATAAAGCTACACCGTAATGCTGCACCAAGGCTGTATTCAACAAGATCCTATGTCATTAAACAGAAAGTTGCTTATATATTCAGAAAATAGAGGAGACTATAGCTACTCAGTACCATTACAATCTTATAATATATAAATATATCTTGAGTCATGCTCAGGACCCATAGTCCCTAAAATCCCTATGAATCATATTTTCTTTTCCTGTGCTAGATTGTACTTTGGGATTTGTTATGTGCCAAGTACGCCTGCATTCCTCCAGAACTTCCTAAACCTTTACAGATCGTCGGGATCACCTTTTAAAACATGTCTCATAGACTCTTCCCTTTTCTATTACGCCTGTGCCAACAGAAAACAGAAGATCAGAGACAGAGAAGTGCCATGGAACAAGACCAATTCCCAGGGCCTTTTGTCCATAGTCCTCTCACTAGCTTTGGGCTGGGAACCACTGCATTACTGTGAGAAAAGCATCCTTCGTGGTACGCCTCTCGTTCCTTACCAATAAGATATTCTATAGACACATTTGTGTCATCACATTTGTTTTAGTTGCCTAACAGGGATGGAGGCAATTTTAGCATTCCTACTGATAGGCGCTCTACAGAGATATGGGACAGCAGGAGAAACTCACGCAGCAAAACAAAAATACAAAACCGTACTATTGATTCACTCACTTCAAAGTGTACTTATGCATCTCCTGTGACTACAACTATTATTTGCAGTGATGAACTATTTTCAGACAATGCCAAGCACAAGCCCTGACAGAGCAAGTGAAGACTCCTACCGGGGAAGGAGAAATGCAGCAAAAACCTTTCACAGTCCCTTCTCTGCAATTACAGAGAACGGAACGAGCAGGTTGCAAAGCTACGTTTGGCTCACGTAGGGCCACCAGGAAACTGCCACACAGTTCTTATTTCAGCCAAATACTGAAATAAGCCTTTGTTCAACTCCCTCTGACTGCAGGACATTCTGAAAAAAATGCTGGACCGCTGGGGTAGGTTATATGAAGCTTTACTTCATGACACTTCTGGACCGTGGAAACTCTGCACAAACCTTAATCCACAGTGCAGAAAACCTACATTTTGATGTCACTTGGGACTCCCACAGCCTGTGGTGAACACTAAGTGATTTAAACTTGGATTGACAGATACCTCTGCGTGCAGAAATTCAATAAAATGTGTTCCTCTTGTTGCACTGTGTATTGGGCTTGCTGCCCTTGATATATGTAGAAGAACAAGAAAAAAAAAGTGAGTCGCTGGAGCATTTCTAGCTCAAAAGCTAACACTCTTCCCCCTTCCCAGTGCTCCCTTCATCTAACCTTGCTCTCCTACAACTTTTCTGTCTGATCATGTTAATGATCCTGATTCCCACAGCGAAGAGGATTCCAGGCTTTTTCTTTGATTTTCCTCAGATACTTTTGCAGGATGGGGTCTAGTCAGCCAGCCCACACAGCGGCGGACACGCCACTCTCCGTCTGCACGGCAGCCACCATGGTTAGGGAAGGAAAGGTGGGAAGAGAGCCACAGGGGCAGCTCCTGCGCAGGGCGTCCGTGCATAACCTTGTAGGGGATAGCAATCTACGGGCACGCGGGAGCTACGAAC